GGACAGGTTACCTACTCCAGGATTCTGGCCTGGAGAATTCCATGGATTGTATAGTCCATGGGGTCGCAAAGAGTCGGACACAACTGAGCGACTTTCACTTTCAAGCTTTATAAAGATAATATGCTATATGTAATTTTTGACAAATTGGCTCTTTCATCCGGTATGTTTTTAAGATTCACCCATCCACTCTATTATTATGGGACATTACTGTTATACTTACTTTACATATAGGCCATGCATATTCCAAAATTACTTGTTATATTTTTTCCATGTCAAGGTTCAAATAAATTAGAAAGGAGATAGACCACACAATCCCATGCCAAAAATGCCAAGTTCATATCAAAAAGTTATCATCTCAACATCACTTAAAAACCATATCACTTTTACATATAACTTGCCAAGATAACTTTTTGCATGGTTATTTGTGACCCTGCAGTTTAACCACGTTGAAAACTAAAAGTTTGCTAACAATTATGGAGATCCTCTGAAGTACTTTTGCATTATATAACCATATATAACCATTAATGTCATCTTGAATCACTTTGCCAAAATTAACTCAGTGAAACTGCTATATATCAACTTTAGACATATACATATATATATAAAGCTGCTACATAACTTTAAGGTCATATATTTACTGTCAGAATTTAATTACTGCAGACTCTCCTAAGATAACAGGTACCAGTTAATGTTATGAAAACAGGAGTCCAAAAGGTCCACATTTAACAGCTTTTAGGGGTCCCCTACTATCTACAGCAGGACAGGAGCACAGCTCAGGAAGTATCACTACTTATTATGCAAACACGCAACAGTTTCCACTGTTTCCTATTTGACAGGGAATTTGCAAGGTTATCCTCATAGTTAAGTGCTAACTGGGTTCTTTTTCTAGAGCAAGAGTAATGAGGCAAGTCTTTTTGCTTCATTCTGGGGAAAGGAAAACCTCTTTAATAATCCATAACTTTTAAAGATATAAGTGAAATGTATTTATTGCTACCTGTGTGTAGCACCTTATTAGGTGCTAAGCTTTCTTATCTAGAAAGTAGAGATAACAGCAGCACCTACCTCCCAAGGTCTTTTTAGGATTCATTAAAAAATGTAGGTAGACAGTTCATTGGAGGGCCTGATGTTGAAGCTGAAACTCCAACACTTTGGCCACCTGATGCGAAGAGCTGACTCATTTGAAAAGACCCTGATGCTGGGAAAGATTGAGGGCAGGAGAAGGGGACGACAGAGGATGAGGTGGTTGGATGGCATCACCGACACAATGGACATGGGTTTGGGTGGACTCCAGGAGTTGGTGATGGACAGGGAGGCCTGGCGTGCTGGGGTTCATGGGGTCGCAAAGAGTCAGACACGACTGAGTGACTGAACTAAACTGAAGACAGTTAATCACAGTATCCAAATCATAATTACATATTCAACAAATGTAGGTTATTATTTCTGTAAATCTTTCCACTTTCATATCAATTCCTATTTGCTTCAGATGTTCCTCCTCCAACGTGTGTTACTTTGCATTTGGCAAATAGATGGGGAAACAATGGAAACAGTGACAGACTTTATTTTCTTGGGCTCCAAAATCACTGCAGATGGTGCCTGCAGCCATGAAATTAAAAGATGCTTGCTCCTTGGAAGAAAAGCTATGACAAACCTGAAGGGAAGTGAAGTGAAGTAAAAGTCACTCAGTCGTGTCCGACTTTTTGCAACTCCATGAATTGCATAGTTTATGGAATTTTCCAGGCCACAATACTGGAGTGGGTACCCTTTCCTTTTCCAGGGGATCTTCCCAACCCAGGGATCGACCGAGGTCATGGGCACTGCAGGCGGATTCTTTATCAGTTGAGCCACAAGGGAAGCCCAAGAATACTAGAGTGAGAGGCTTATCGCTTCTCCAGCAGATCTTCCCGACCCAGGAATCGAAAAGGGGTCTTCTGCACTGCAGGCGGATTCTTTACCAACTGAGCTATGAGGGAAGCCCTGACAAACCCAGACAGCATATTAAAAAGCAGAGACATTTCTTTACCCACAAAGGTCCATCTAGTCAAAGCTATGGTTTTTCCAGTAGTCATATATGGATGTGAGAGTTGGACTATAAAGAAAGCTGAGTGCCGAAGAGCTGATGCTGTTGAACTGTGGTGTTGGAGAAGACTCCTGAGAGTCCCTTGGATTACAAGATCAAACCAGTCAATTCTGAAGGAAATCAGTCCTGAATATTCATTGGAAGGACTGATGCTGAAGCTGAAGCACCAAGACTTTGGCCACCTGATCTGAAGAACAGACTCACTGGAAAAGACCCTGATGCTGGAAAAGATTGAAGACAGGAGAAAAGGAGGACAGAGGATGAGATGGTTGAATGGCATCACCAACTCGATAGACATGAATCTGAACAAGCTCTGGGAGTTGGTGATGGACAAGGAAGCCTGGCATGCTATAGTCCATGGGGCTGGAAAGAGTTGGACACCACTGAGCAACTGAACTGAAAATAATGGAGATAAGTTATTCTAGAAAGGCACAGGAGGAGGGTACCTAAATCAGCCTGGGGACAAGAGGCAGCCAGAGAACTTCATGTGTTATATATTATCTCCACAATGATCACAGCAAACACCCTCTTCCAACAACACAAGAGAAGACTCTACACATGGACATCATCAGATGGTCGATACCGAAATCAGACTGATTATATTCTTTGCAGCCAAAGATGGAGAAGCTCTATACAGTCAGCAAAAACAAGACCAGGAGCTGACTGTGGCTCAGATCATGAACTCCTTATTGCCAAATTCAGACTGAAATTGAAGAAAGTAGGGAAAACCACTAGACCATTCAGGTATGACCTAAATCAAATCCCTTACAATTATACAGTGGAAGTGGGAAATAGATTTAAGGGACTAGATCTGACGGACATAGTGCCTGAAGAACTATGGATGGAGATTTGTGACACTGTATAGGAGACAGGGATCAAGGCTATCCCTAAGAAAAAGAAATGCAAAAAGGCAAAATGGCTCTCTGAGGAAGCCTTACAAAAAGCTGTGAAAAGAAGAGAAGCGAAAAACAAAGGAGAAAAGGAAAGCTATACCCATTTGAATGCAGAGTTCCAAAGAACAGCAAGGAGAGATAAGAAACCCTTTCTCAAAGAAATAAGAGGAAAACAATAGAATGGGAAAGACTAGAGATCTCATCAAAAAAATTAGAGATAGCAAGGGAACATTCTACGCAAAGATGTGCACAATAAAGGACAGAAATGGTATGGACCAAACAGAAATGAAGATATTGAGAAAAGGAGGCAATACAGAGAACTGTACAAAAAAGATTTTCAAAACCCAGATCATCAGGATGGTGTGATCTCTCACCTAGAGCCAGACATCCTGGAATGTGAAGTCAAGTGGGCCTGAGGAAGCATCACTACGAACAAAGCTGGTGGAGGTGATCGAATTCCAGTTGAGCTATTTCAAATCCTAAAAGATGATGCTGTGAAAGTGTTGCATTCAATATGCCAGCAAATGTGGAAAACTCAGCAGTGGCCACAGGACTGGAAAAGGTCAGTTTTCATTCCAATCCCAAAGAATGTTCAAACTACCACACAATTACACTCATCTCACATGCTAGCAAAGAAATGCTCAAAATTCTCCAAGCCAGGCTTCAATAATATGTGAACTGTGGACTTCCAGATGTTCAAGCTGGATTTAGAAAAGGCAGAGGAACCAGAGATCAAATTGCCAACATCTGCTGGATCATCGAATAAGCAAGAGAGTTCCGGGAAAAACAGCTATTTCTGCCTTATTGACTATGCCAAAGGCTTTGACTGTGTGGATCACAACAAACTGTGGAAAATTGTAAAAGTGATGGGAATACCAGACCACCTGACCTGCCTCTTGAGAAATCTGTATGCAGGCCAGGAAGCAACAGCTAGAACTGGACATGGAACAACAGACTGGTTCCAAATAGAAAAGGAATACGTCAAGGCTGTATATTGTCACCCTGCTTATTTAACTTATATGCGGAATACATCCTGAGAAATGCTGGGATGGATAAAGCACAAGATGGAATTGAGATTGCTGGGAGAAATATCAATAACCTCAGATATGCAGGTGACACCACCCTTATGGCAGAAAGTGATGAAAAACTAAAGAGCCTCCTGATGAAAGTGAAAGAGGAGAGTGAAAAAGTTGGCTTAAAGCTCAACATTCAGAAAACTAAGATCATGGCATCTGGTCCCATCACTTCATGGTAAATAGATGGGGAAACAGTGGAAACAGTGACAGACTTTATTTTTCTGGGCTCCAAAATCACTGCAGATGGTGACTGCAGCCAAGAAATTAAAAGATGCTTACTCCTTGGAAGAAAAGTTATGACCAACCTAGACAGCATATTAAAAAGCAGAGACATTACTTTGCCAACAAAGGTCCATCTAGTCAAAGCTATCGTTTTTCTGGTAGTCATGTATGGATGTGACAGTTGGACTAAAAGAAAGCTGAGAGCCGAAGAACGGATGCTTTTGACCTGTGGTGTTGGAGAAGACTACTCAAAGTCCCTTGGACTGTAAGGAGATCATACCAGTCCATCCCCTAAAGGAGATCAGTCCTGAATGTTCATTGGAAGGACTGATGTTGAGGCTGAAACTCCAATACGTTGGCCACCTGATGCGAAGAACTGACTCATCTGAAAAGAACCTGATGCTGGGAAAGATTGAAGGCCAAGTGCAAAAGGGGACGACAGAGGATGAGATAGTTGGACGGCATCACCGACTGAACGGACATGAGTTGGGTAAGCTCTGAGAGTTGGTGACGGACAGGGAAGCCTGGCATGCTGCAGTCTAAGGGGTCGCGGAGTCGGATACGAGTGAGCGACTGAATTGATATATTATCTCCACTCCTACACCAAAGAAAAAGTTCTTTACTGAGCTTTGAAAAAAAAAAATCTCTACAGGGCAATGATAAGCAAAAAAACTACAGCCTGAAGTTAAGTGATTCGCTCAACGTTGATCAGCTCTTTACAGAACTGGCTACGCGTCCTCTTTTGAAAGCTAGAATTTAGTTCTCTTGGGACCCGGTTCATGAGCTCTGCTACAAGTTTACAGGAACTTAACCACGCTAATCTAGACATTACAGGGCTTTATCAAATTATACGGCGTTTTGCAATGTACTCTATCCTATTTTCGGTATGTTAAACGTATTTGAAGTTATTTAAGTAATACATCACTAAATATGGCCCACAGCCTATAAAATCTGTCAAAAGCCTTGGAGAATCATAATTAAAATGAACAAATACTACTAGATAAGTAAAACTGGAAGGAAGAGAAGCAGAGTTGTGTGGGGAACCAAGCACCAGGAAATGTCGGAGAAAGAGACAAATTTACTCTCGGAAAAAGACAACGGAAAAGGTTACTGGGCCACAAAATATCTACTCGTCTTGCTCACAGAGGTACCCAAACACAGCAACACCCGAAGGAAGAGATACTTACGGCATTTCGACTTTCAGGAACGCACCTCCGTCGCCGGATAAAATCACTAAGCAACTCCGTCCGTAAACAGAGAACCTTCCGAGAGACACACTGAAGCCTGAAAAGCGCGGGTGAACAGACACTCGACGCTGTGCTGCACTCAAAGAGGCCGGCCGGAAACACTCCCCCAGCGACAAGGGATCCCAATGTATGCCAGTAAGATGAAGGGAGAGTCAACACATAGACAGCACCCAGCCCTTGCCAAGGCAACGCAGGACCCTCTCTCAGGATTCTGACAAGAAGGCTCCCCGAAAAAGGAGAGACAGAGCCATCTCTGTTCACTCTGGAATATGTATCCGCAGATTTCTAGCCGGACCATTTAGGGAGGTGCTCTGTATCTTGTTTCCGGTGGCCGAGAGATGCAGTTTCCATGGTAATTAAAAGAGGGCTGCGGACTGTCCTGCTGCGGAGGACTGCGGAGGCTTTGAAGAGAATTGGCTACGCTCCCTCGTTTGTGACCAGCAGTTAGGTAGCAAGCAACTCGCTGTCTCTCTCTTTGCCCGCTCCGTCCCTCACTGTTCGGCTTCCTTTTCTCCACCTACTTCTTTGTCATACGTACACTTGCTCCATGTCTGTACTTAAAATGTACATACAAATGCGATTTTATTCCCAGAGTAATACAAAAAATAGAGAGATGTTGCCCGAGATCAGTCCTGAATGTATTTTACAGTGTAGGGACGGTGACGAATGACTCTCTGTTTTCACTTGGCCCTCTAGAAGCCTTAGGCGCTTGTTAACAGTTTATTTTTCTTGCTATTGTGTGGCTGGTTATTTATGGAGCGATTGCTGCAATGTATTCTCTAGGCCCCTGTCTTGGTCTCGGCCTAGAGTTTTAAATGCAGGAGGTTTCCAAGCCTGAGGAGCTCAATTATATATTTACTTATGCTTTAGTTTAGTCTCATGTTACAGAGAAGGGGGAAAAAAAAGAATTCTGGAACAATTTTGCCGTGGGATTTCCATTTGAGGGCGTCAGTTTATTTGGAAAGAGCAGTTGAGGACAATCTTAAAAAAAAAAAAAAAACCACGCAAAACCTTAAATTTCTAAGTTGCTGGCTTCAAAATGAACGTTCATTCCCTTTCCTTATTGGAAGAGATTTCTTTCACATTTGTGAAGATATGCGTGCACGCATATGTGTTTAAAAACTGTGATGCTTAATTATAGTGATACCAATTTGCAGTAACCAGACTGTGACACCACATCCCTGTGGGGTCCTTCTAAATCTGGTGTAAGATGAAAGTGTCAGGCAGGCGGTCTGTGTATTATGAATAGGGTACTTCATCCATGATAAGCGATTATTATCTTTCTTTCCCAAGTGTAAAAGACCTATATAATTCAAGAAGGTGTTAGTGATTTAGGCCTCCTGAGTTAAGAATCCAATGAGTCCTGAAGGGGACCGTACCTGTGTCGTCTTATTGTTGAACTAGAAATATTCAATTTATTGGGTTGAAATGTATTTTTAGAAGTCAAAGCTGGGTAAAATAATGTTGGAAGCTGTTAGACCACCAGCACAATTTAGTTCCTTATAGTAACTGTTGTACAAGAAACCTTTTTTCATAAGAAAAAAGAAGAAACTGTTGCTGAAATCTACATGCTTTTGCTACTTACTCTTAGCTGGGTGAAATCTCTGCCTCTCGATTTTCTTATCTATAAAAGGTGCAGACAGTACCTGACCACTGTAGTAGGTATATGTCAAGATGTATGACAGTTCTTTAAACTCTTATGAGCAGAGGTGCTGTATAAACCCCCAAATTATTGTTATTATTAACATTATTATTGATGGTAATAGAATACAGTAAAACCGCAGGATAAGTCTATACATGGGATTTTTAAAATTCAGTCATTTTATTATTATTTTTAAATTCAGTCATTTTAAATGTGGGGCTGCAGTATTGAGATGTTAGTGAAATGACATGGTTGCTGCTATGGAGATGAATGCCAACTGCCAATCACATTATACTCAAATTATCATTATGGTGGAGTTTCACTCTGTAGTTTATTTAGCATTTATTATGTGCCTGGCACTGTTCTATGTGCTTCAAATGTGTTAGTTTAATTAATGCTCATGACAATCCTATGAAGAGTCTCAACTGACTGTCCTCTAATTTTGAGAGAATGAATGTGTGCTTTTCCTTTGCCCTATGAGTCTTCTTTTGTATTTATGTTACATCTTTGTTTTAGCTTTGTTCTTTGGGTTCTCTATATTTAGAAATCAACTGCCAAAAACTTATTCTAGTTTAACATATGATAATGTAACCATATGCATATTATAATGTACATCATTTTTCCACATATAAAAACCTTCATGTCTTGATTCTGCGCCCCCCCCCACCCCCACCGCCACCACCATTTGAAAGGCAAAGTGACATTTTCATTTTAGAACTAACAGTGACTAAAACAAAATTTTAAATTATTTTTTAATAGAATGGCTATCAGTCCAGGAAGTGATGCAGCTTTCTCCAGTCAGAAATCAACGCATTCAGAGAGTCCTCGATCAAAGAAATTTCCGCTAACTGAAGAGGAGATATTTTATATGAATTGTAGAGCTGCCTACTTAACTGTTTTCAAAAGCAGTTTAGATAACATTATTTCTAAAGATCAACTTTACTTAGGTAATTTTTTTAACTAAGTAGTTTTCCTTATTTGCTGAAAGTTAATAGATCAGAAAGACTGCAATTAGAATTACATTGTTGAATCATTCCAGTTGCTTGGTTAAGCTTGAGCGGTAGAACTACGTTATGCTATTGTGTCATTCTAATTTTATTTATTTATGTATTTTTGGCTGTGCTGGGACTTCCTTGCTCTGCACAGACTTCCTCTAGTTGTGATGAGAGAGAGCCACTCTCTAGTTGGAGTGCATGGACTTCTTATTGCAGTGGCTTCTCTTGTTGTAGAACATGGGCTGTCGGGTGCCGGACTTCAGTGATTGTGGTTCCTGGGCTCTGGAGCACGGGCTCAATAGTTGTGGCACATGGGTTTAGTTGCCATGTAGCATGTGGGATCTTCCTGGACCAGGAATTGAACCCATGTCTCCTGTATTGGCAGCCAGATTTTTTACCACTGAGCCACTAAGGAAGCCCATATTATGTCATTTTATATAGCTACATAATCCAGGTTTGATGGTTGGATGTAGCCTACCAGGCTCCTCCGCCCATGGAATTTTCCAGGCAAGAATACTGGAGTGGGTTGCCATTCCCTTCTCCAGGGGATCTTCCTGACCCAGGGATTGAACCCAGGTCTCCCACATTGCAGGCAGACTCTTTACCATCTGAGCCACCAGGGAAGCCCTCACATAATCCAGGAGCTTCAAAATAAAACTTTCAATGTTTGTATGTATTTGGTTCAGTTCAGTTTAGTCGCTCAGTTGTGTCCGACTCTTTACGACCCCATGGACTGCAGCACGCCAGGTTTCCCTGTCCATCACCAACTCCTGGAGCTTACTCAAACCCATGTCCATTGAGTCAGTGAGCCATCCAACCATCTCATCCTCTGTCTTTTCCAGTGAGTCAGTTCTTTGCATCAAGTGGCCAAAGTATTGGAGTTTCATCCTCAACATCAGTCCTTCCAATGAACATTCAGGACTGATTTCCTTTAGGATTGACTGGTATGATCTCCTTGCATCCAAGGGACTCGCAAGAGTCTTCTCCAATACCACAGTTCAAAAGCATCAGCTCTTTGGCACTCAGCTTTATTTATAGTCCAACTCTCACATCCATACATGACTACTGGAAAAACCATAGCTTTGACTAGACAGACCTTTGTTGACAAGCTAACATCTCTGCTTTTTAATATGCTGTCTAGGTTTGTCATAGCTTTTCTTCCAAGGAGCAAGCGTCTTTTAATTTCATGGCTGCAGTCACCATCTACAGTGATTTTGGAGCCCCCAAAAATAAAGTCTGTCACTATTTCCATTGTTGCCTCATCTATTTGCCATGAAGTGATGGGACTGTATGCCATGATCTTTTCTATATTTTTAAAGCTTCCACCCATTGCTTGCTTAAAAATGTTTTTTAAATTCTTGGTATTTTAAGATTTATGATAATAGATTAAAATGCTTTTGGCAACTGAATCACTAGTCTAAATTTGACCTACACTGGAGAAAATGTAAAGGATATATATATATATATTTATATATATATGTACACATATATACATATGGGTATGTATTGAATGATTGTAAAAGGGCAGTATTTGAAAATAAGTGAAATTTTAAAAGAAAAGAATTTGGGGTTTTGTTCTGTTTTTTAGGGATGAGAGTTTCAGAGAATTGGTCTTTTGTTTTTACCTCATTATATTTTATTGTTTTTTAATTGAAGTATAGTTGAATTACAATGTTAATTACTGCTGTACAACAAAGTGACTCAATTACACAGATATCTATATTTATATCTACCTTTCTATCTATATATACATTCTTTTTTCATATTCTTTTCCACTATGGTTTATAACCAGATACTCAATATAGTTCTCTATGCTATACAGTAGAACCTTATTGTTTATCATTGTATATATAGCAGTTTGCATTTACTAATCTCAGACTCCAAATCCAACCTCTCCCAACCTTCGTCATCTTGGCAACCACCAGTCTATTCTCTATGTCTGTGA